AGAAGAAGAAGAAGAAGAAGAAGAAGAAGAAGAAGAAGAAGAAGAAGTAGTAGTAGTAGTAGTGGAGGAGGAGGAGGAGGAGGAGGAAGAAGAAGACGAGGAGGAGGAGGAGAGGAGGAAGAAAAGGAGGAGGAAGAAGAAAAGAAGAGGAGGAGGGGGGCAGGAGGAGGGGGAGGAGTAAATGTTACAATTGCCGTAAAACACAGAAAGAGGTTATGTGGGGAAACCGCCTTGGGTGGGTGGCTACAGCCAGCAAAATGTTGAATTCCCTTTCTCCTTGCCCCAAGGCCTCAGTCCAAAATGGGGCTTTACTCTCCCCTCCTGTCTTTTACGAAGAAATAAAAACAGTTACGACTCAGATGTAGCTGCAGCTGAGCCCTTCTGAGAAAGAGAGTACAGAAACGAGGCCTGCAGTTTGGCACGTGTCTCTTACACGCTCGCCCCTTTCCCTTAAAAGTCTTCCCCTCCCTCCCGCTTGGGATCCACGGTGGCCAATCTGGCGTACCACAAAGTAAACAGCAAAAGTTCCCAAGATGAATTTACTCAGGTCTGACACAAAGAAACCACAGCTGGAAGCTGGCCCAGCCTGATGCGAACCAAGCCAGGAATGCACAGCTGCTGAACTGCCTGTGGTCTTCCACAAGATCAGCTCTGAGCTCTTAAACATTGTGGCCTCTGCCTCGATGACCCAAAATGGCCTCCCTAGGGCAGATGAGCAGGTAGAAGTCAAAATCAAACTTTGGTAAAGATTGCTGGTTGTAGTGGAGGTGAGTAGAAATTGGACTCTCTGCGTGGTTTCTGGGCAATGGTGGAACAGTGTCTTGGCAGCTATCTATACCTCCTCCAGAAGCCCTAAGGAAGAGGGCTTTATTATGGTTAGTTCCTAGCTTATTCCCAGGGCAGAGGGAGGGAACCAGGAAGAACATCATTGGCTACTACTGCTGTTGCTGACATGCCTCTCCTGTGAAATCTGGAATGATGACGAAAGCAGCCAAGAAATGCCTCCCTCTTCCTCCTCTGGTTTGTAGCCAAAGATTCCCAGACTTTTCCAGCAAAGCTGAACTATTTCCCTACCGATTCTGTGAGTTCCAAGTCTTCCCAATCCTTCACTTCATATTTGTTAGGGATACCCCAAGACATAAAGCTTGCCCTTTCACCATCATCCCACCTTTGGGGTCTGAAAGGTCCTTATTCTAACCTTTCTTTGACAACACAGAAGCCCAGCCAATAGTTCTGGCGCAAGGCTTTTAAGCAAGAGGCATGTTTGCAGCTTTGCCATTGAATGAATGAATGAATGAATGAATGAATGAATGAATGAATGAATGAATGATCCATCCATCCATCCATCCATCCATCCATCCATCCATCCATCCATC